ACCTTACAACCATGTGTAACTCCATTTCCAGAGGATCCAACATCTGAACTGAGGAGCACCAAGCACACACGTGTAGATATACATGTCTGCAAAACGCTCATACACATAAAATAGTTATGGGGCGGGGGGAGAGAGAGACTCTGTAGAGCTGAAGAGCCGCCCTTACACAAACACACACCAGGAAGGTCTACATCAAACTGATTGATGAAGACACCTGCCACAGTTAAGTGCTGATCCACTTATTTTGCAGAAATCATCTGCTAGGTCTGGGCACTCTGAAAATCTAAAACAGTGAAAAGGGCATGTTAGTTGGCAGAATTCACTTAAAATTCTAGTTCTGTCATTGATTACCACGTCATTTAATCTTTAAAACACTTTACTCCTGTGTTAGACAAGTACGCTAACTACAAACACCAAGTCTGAAGAGCTGTCATAGAGCTTAAGCTGTGGCAGAGCAGTGCTCTAACTTAACCATGAAAACCATCATCACGATACAAAATCAATTAAGCAACTACTGTCACTGAGTGAGAAAAGGATGAATCCCCAAGATGTATTTCCTCTCATCTATAAAGTCTGCCATAAAACAAGGATGATTTCTAGTCAAGCACATGTCTTTAGTTCCAGTACTCCGGAGTCAGAGGCAGGAGGATCTCTGAGTTCGAGCCAGTCTGGTCTACAGAGTGAGTACCAGGACAGCCAGAGAAACACAGAGAAACCCTGTGTGTGAGTGAGTGTGTGTATGTGTGGTGGTGGTGGTGGTGGTGGGGAGCGGGGTTCTTAGAAGGGAGACAGAAATGTTGACAAAAGTATGTGTTCAACTGTTATGAAAGAGGTTACTTAGTTGCCAATTCTGTTTTTGACTGGGCAAAGTAAGGGTTATTGGGCTAATGTTTAAAGAAAAATAAAAATAAAAGAGGGCAGGTATGACATTTACTTAGAATCTCAGTGCTGCCAAAACAGACACAGGCAGATCCTTAGGGCTTGGGGACGGGTAACCCAGCCAACCCAGACAGCTCCAAAAAATAAAAACGCAACAAAGTGGATGGTGCTTGAGGAATGACAACCGAGGATGATGCGCACTCGCGTGCACACACACACTCACATACACACAAGGATGATGCGCACTCGCACGCACAAACACACTCACATACACACAAGGATGATGCACACTCGCGTGCACACACACACTCACATACACACAAGGATGATGCGCACTCGCGTGCACGCACACACTCACATACACACAAGGATGATGCGCACTCGCGTGCACGCACACACTCACATACACACAAGGATGATGCGCACTCGCACGCACACACACATACACACAAGGATGATGCACAGTCGCACACACACACACACTCACATACACACAAGGATGATGCGCACTCGCGTGCACACACACACTCACATACACACAAGGATGATGCGCACTCGCACGCACAAACACACTCACATACACACAAGGATGATGCGCACTCGCGTGCACACACTCATACACACAAGGATGATGCGCACTCGCACGCACACACACACTCACATACACACAAGGATGATGCGCACTCGCGTGCACGCACTCACATACACACAAGGATGATGCGCACTCGCACGCACACACACACTCACATACACACAAGGATGATGCACACTTGCACACACACACACTCACACACACACAAGGATGATGAGCACTCGCACGCACACACACATACACATAAGGATGATGCGCACTCGCGTGCACGCACACACTCACATACACACAAGGATGATGCGCACTCGCGTGCACGCACACACTCACATACACACAAGGATGATGCGCACTCGCACGCACACACACATACACACAAGGATGATGCACACTCGCACACACACACACACTCACATACACACAAGGATGATGCGCATTCGCACGCACACACACATACACACAAGGATGATGCACACTCGCACACACACACACACTCACATACACACAAGGATGATGCGCACTCGCGTGCACACACACACTCACATACACACAAGGATGATGCGCACTCGCACGCACAAACACACTCACATACACACAAGGATGATGCGCACTCGCGTGCACACACTCATACACACAAGGATGATGCGCACTCGCACGCACAAACACACTCACATACACACAAGGATGATGCGCACTCGCGTGCACGCACTCACATACACACAAGGATGATGCGCACTCGCACGCACACACACACTCACATACACACAAGGATGATGCACACTTGCACACACACACACTCACACACACACAAGGATGATGAGCACTCGCACGCACACACATACACATAAGGATGATGCGCACTCGCGTGCACGCACACACTCACATACACACAAGGATGATGCGCACTCGTGTGCACACACACACTCACATACACACAAGGATGATGCGCACTCGCGTGCACGCACACACTCACATACACACAAGGATGATGCGCACTCGCGTGCACGCACACACTCACATACACACAAGGATGATGCGCACTCGCACGCACACACACATACACACAAGGATGATGCACACTCGCACACACACACACTCACATACACACAAGGATGATGCGCACTCGCACGCACACACACATACACACAAGGATGATGCACACTCGCACACACACACACACTCACATACACACAAGGATGATGCGCACTCGCGTGCACACACACACTCACATACACACAAGGATGATGCGCACTCGCACGCACAAACACACTCACATACACACAAGGATGATGCGCACTCGCGTGCACACACTCATACACACAAGGATGATGCGCACTCGCACGCACAAACACACTCACATACACACAAGGATGATGCGCACTCGCGTGCACGCACTCACATACACACAAGGATGATGCGCACTCGCACGCACACACACACTCACATACACACAAGGATGATGCACACTTGCACACACACACACTCACACAAGGATGATGAGCACTCGCACGCACACACACATACACATAAGGATGATGCGCACTCGCGTGCACGCACACACTCACATACACACAAGGATGATGCGCACTCGTGTGCACACACACACTCACATACACACAAGGATGATGCGCACTCGCACGCACGCACACACTCACATACACACAAGGATGATGTGCACTCGCACGCACACACACACTCACATACACACAAGGATGATGTGCACTCGCGTGCACACACTCACATACACACAAGGATGATACACACTCGCGTGCACACACTCACATACACACAAGGATGATACACACTCGCGTGCACACACTCACATACACACAAGGATGATGCACACTCACGTGCAAGCACACACTCACATACACACAAGGATGATGCACACTCGCACGCACACTCACATACACACAAGGATGATGCACACTCGCGTGCACACACACACTCACATACACACAAGGATGATGCGCACTCGCGTGCACGCACACACTCACATACACACAAGGATGATGCACACTCGCACGCACACACACATACACACAAGGATGATGCACACTCGCACGCACACTCACATACACACAAGGATGATGCACACTCACATGCACACACACACTCACATACACACAAGGATGATGCACACTCACATGCACACACACACTCACATACACACAAGGATGATGCACACTCACATGCACACACACACTCACATACACACAAGGATGATGCACACTCACACACTCACATACACACAAGGATGATGCGCACTCACACACTCACATACACACAAGGATGATGCGCACTCACACACTCACATACACACAAGGATGATGCACACTCACACACTCACATACACACAAGGATGATGCACACTCGCACGCACACACACTCACATACACACAAGGATGATGCGCACTCACACACTCACATACACACAAGGATGATGCGCACTCACACACTCACATACACACAAGGATGATGCGCACTCACACACTCACATACACACAAGGATGATGCGCACTCGCGTGCACGCACACACTCACATACAGACAAAAGTAAGAATAAAGAATGAGGGGGATGACGAGAGATTTCATTTAAAGACCACCAACCACATTCACAGCACAGATGGCAAGAGAGTCGGAAATATAACTGATGTTAAAAAAACAATATATTCAGCCATAAATTAACCTAATGACAAGTTTTACACAACTTATGAAACATCATTACATTACTCAAAAAAAATCCAGATGATAAGAAGTTGGTAGCTGCGATCTATGGTTTTAAGAATTCTTTCACTGAGTTGGGCAGTAGAGGATGATTATCACAGCTTTTCCAAAGAAACTAATCAAAACAACCAGCACACCTGCTAACCCCAGTACTCAGGAGGTAGATTCAAGAGGTTAATGAGTTCTTTAAGGCCAGCCTGGATTCACATCTCCTGCAGCAGCAGCAAAAAAAAAACCCCAAAGACAATAATGAACCTAATCCTGGGAATTTACCTTGAAGTCTTAAAAGGACATTTTGGAGACATCAAAAAGGCAGTTCCAGAAGAAAACACACAATGCTCTGTTTAGAACACAACCTATCTGGGGAAACATTCTTCTTTAGTAGGTAAAGCTTGTCTGTAAGTCAGTCTCACAGTGATGCTGTAGTATGGGTCTAACTCTCCTGAAAAAGGCCCAAGTGCTAAAGGCCTGTGGCGCTACTAGGAAGCTGTGGAAACTTTAGGCCATGCCCAGTGGGAGATTTTAGGCACTAGGGTGTGTCCTCAAAGGGCACTGAAAAAACCTCGTCTCCTCCTCTTCCTCTTCTGCACCCACATTGAGGTGAATAATTTGCTTCTAGCATGTGCTCCCTGCCACAATATGCTACCCCGTTACAGGCCTGAAGCAACAGGGCCAATCAACCTCAAACCGAAACTTCTAAATCCATGGCCCCAAATAAACCTTTTTCTCTCGACAAGTTGAGTCATTTGCTACAGTGACGTAAAGATAATGCAGGGAATATAAGAACAAGAGAATTATGCAGAAAATAAGCCAAAGAGCCATACAATTTTAATGTATTACTCAAGGACTAATCGGGAAACAACAGGTATCAGTGAAAAGTAGCCAAAGCAATCAACAGCTCAGTGTGAAAAGGTACCTGCTGACAGGCCTGACAACCCAAGTCTGATCCCAGGGCCAGCAGTGGAAAGAGGACAGTCGACTAGCACAAGTTTTCCTCTGCCGTCTCAGGTGCATCTGATCTCCATACGCAGGCCATGGTATTTGTGCCTCTTCCCCAAATAAAAAGTTTAAAACTTGCAATGCAAAAGTAAAATCCAAGAGACCAGATCAAACCATTTCTCCATTTAACTTTTAACTATTTTGCACCAGGGAGCTCGAGAGTTGGTTCAGTGGTTAGGAGCACTGGCTGCTCTTCCAGAAGACTCCCACATGGTGGCTATCACCAGCTGTGACTCTAGTTCTAGGAAATCGATGCCCTCTTCTGGGATCTTTGGGCACAAGGAATGCGCATGGTGCACAGACATACATGCAAAACACCCATACACATAGAACAAGTAATAAGAAATAAGTATTTGCAGCAGATAAACTGCAAAATATCTTAAGAAACACTTGCATTTCCTTGATAAAGAATCTCTGAGCCAGGCACAGTGTCACAGGACTGTGATCTCAGCTCTTGGGAGGTAGCAGTGTGAGGGAGGATCAGGAGTTAGAGGTTACTTTGGCCTATGAAGTCAGTCTGAGGCCAGCCTGGACTAAGACTGTCTAACGACAAAAGTCAGGCCTCTACAAACACAAACTACACTTTCCTTCCGCAAAGCTTTCACGCTACAAATCCCCTTGGAGTTGGTACATAGCTCAGTGGGAGTGCGTGCCTAGAATGCTTGAGGCCCAGCTTTCAAGCCCCATAATAATAATTTTAAAAAGTTCATGTGCTGGAATTGGAAAGGTCACTTCTTAAACTGTCTTAAACAATGAGCTGTCAAGTAATGAGCTAGCGAGGCATATGGAATTGACGTTATAGGAAAAGTCATGTTTCCTACAACTGACTGCTTTCCTACACAGACAGCCACAGAAAAGCCACCTATTCCTCTAAGAGCAAATCCCAAAAGAAATCCAGCAAAGAAATGCTGCCAGTAATAGAACTTCTAATTATGACCTGCCTATAAATATTTACCCTCAAATGCTTTTTAGGCTTGCCTTGACATAACAACTTTTCTGGAGGAGTATTTGTTTTCAGAAATTTGTTGTGTTTTTAAGTCTGGAAAACAATTTACTGGTTTTCTTAAATCATGATCACAAAATCATACTATCTGCTGCTAGATCTTTGAACGTTAGGAAGCCTCAGCTTAGATGGGCTCTAGCTTTTCTAACAATATTTTTGGATGCTTATTCATACAGCTGAGAAAGTACTTTCCCCCAGGAAATGTCACAGTGGTAAGAGAAAGCACCTGCCCAGCAAGGCCGCATCTCTGCACCTACCCAGCAAAGCTGGTTTCTGCACTTCCTCACATCCCTGGGTAACTCTTCTTTAGTCCAGACCAGTGAGCCCTCAGGATGCACACGAACCAACGGTACTAATGCTGAAAAACTAAATTACAAAACAAATACATGATCACAATTTAAATTCTTTGGACTGTTTATCTCTAAGCCCCAATACAAAAATTTCAAACTTTCCCGACCACACATGGTAGTGTTAATATTGTATATGTAAAAATGTTGTACTTTGGGAACTCTGTAAATGTTCACAGCTGTCACCACGGCAGAAAGGAAAGGTGGGGGCTGAAGGGACAACAGTGGCCCAGTGGGACAGGGACAAACACTGCTAGGGACCTTATGTCGACTTTTCTACTGTTCAAAAAAATGTGAGCATCTTCTAGCTTCATCAGCTTTCCGACTGTCAGACAAGGACCTTTCTCTCAAGCAGATGAGACTTGGACCTCAATTATTGGGTCCCCTTTACATAGAAGGCCAACACTGGTTTTCATTTCTATTGGAACGCGGGAACGTTCACTAGAGTCCTCAGAATGTTCAGGGAGGAAAAACTTGCAAAGCTTTCCCAGTCCATACAGAATGATCAGAATGTAACAGAAGCTGCAGAAGATCCAGAACGCACGTCAGTCATATTTGATCCTCTCTATCAGGCGTTCCTCCTTGTAATGGGAAATAATCTGAATCAGGATGGAACAGTTGATCAGAAGAAAGAACAAACCCGCTAACCAAATAAACAGGAAGGTGTTCTTGCCTTGAAACTCTAGCACATACGCGGGAGTCAGCCACAAGGCCTGTCCTATAAACCACAACATCAAGAGGGCTATGGCTCTTCTCCAAGGGATTCTCACTAGTGGCATCACCAGAGGCAGAAGGCAGAGGTACCAAAGGAAGTACTGAGAGGTGCAAACTTTGTTAAAAGTCACAAAGATGGATGTGTGAAGAAAACAACAGAAGTCCAGATCTCTGTAATAGGCAAAGGACACGGCTGAAAGCAGGATGAACTGAGGCAGGAACGCGGCAATGCCCAGGGTGAAACTCCACTTGCTCTCTGCCGTCAAGTACAGCATATAGAAGTAGGGTGAAAAGTTGTGGCGGATGTCCCTCCTGGTCAGATGATAGAGGTAGGTGTGCTCCAAAAACTCCCAACCGTATTTATAGTAAAAACCGAAGTTCAGGGCAAAAAACGTGAGTCCCGCCACCGCGACAAAGAGCAGCACCGCCCAGCTACACAGCCTCCTCAGGAAGTCGTACAGACGAGCCTGGAACGAGTAGCGGGCTTGCCGGAGACTCTCGTCGCTTTCGCGCTCGGGCCGCAAGTGGAGCGCTATGGGGAGGATGTAAGTGACCGGATACATCTTCATGTGCACCGCGAAGCCATAGAACACCGCGGCACACGCGATCAGCCGCTTCTCTATTAAGTACAGGGCCGTGAGCACCAGGGAGGCCACGATGGAGTCGGCGTTGCCCCGGCTCGACACCGCCATAGGTAAGGGGTTAAGCAACCAGAAGACGCAGTAGCCACAGGCCTGGCGGCGCCCCAGCCCCTTGAGCAGCAGCAGGCGGTATAAGAGGAAGGCGGTGAGGAGATCGCAGCTGATGAAGAGAAACTTGCCGAAGAGCTCGGTGAGGTAGATGTTGGGAGTGAGCAGCCAACTCAGGAGCGGCGTGTAGCGATACGTCGCCCTCAGGTAAGGCGAGCGCCCTTCCGTGACGAAACGCGCGGCGTCCGTGAACACATGGTAGTCGATGTCGGTGTACCGCACCAGCAGAGTCCGGTCCTGGAAGACACCGTAGAAAACCAGGGCGACCCGGGCCAGGAAGGCCACAGCGAACACACCGGCGGGGGGCACCCGCAGGTTCAAGAACCGTTCCCCCCAGTGCCTGGTGTAGATCATGGTCTGGCTGCGGCCCGGCCGCCCGGCCCGGGCCCCACGCTGCGCCGCCCGCTTTCTAACCGTCCTCCTGCTTCCCGCACTCGGCCTCCCGGAGCATCTCCTCCGCAGACTGCAAACAGAAACAACCCGGGAGCGAGCACTTCCGGCACGTCGTCCCGCCCCCGCGCTACTTCCGGCCTCGAGCGATTTCCCCGTGGTCCCCACCCCCCCACCCCCCCCCCCACCCCCCGCTAAACAATTCCCTTCCTCGGGATTGGCTGCCTAGCTTCCCCTAGCTTCCTCGGGCGGAGGCGGGATTTCCGGTCCCCCATTGGCCACTCTTTTGCTGCCCGGAAAGCCCGGAGTGGCTGAGCTCTTGCGGAGCTGGGTGAGTTTTGTTTTTAGTAACCGGTGCCGCCGCGCTCCCGACTCTCGGCAAAGAGTGAGCTGGGACCTGCTGCCTACATCCCTCAGGACTGACTTGGAGGACTGAGAGTGAAAAATGTAGATGGAAAGGAAATAAACCTAAAATAGTTCTCATTTTTGACCTCTGTTAGGAATTTTCCTACCAGAATCCGTCTGTGCGGTCGCCCCTGGAGTGCCCTCAACTCCCGTTCTTTTCAGGCATCCTTCACCTAAGTCAGAATCTGCCCTCCGCCCACCCCGTTCCACCCCACTAGTTTCTTGCCAAGGACTCTAACTCTTTCATTCTTTTTCTGGTTACTGCACTTAGAATCGACTTAAGAACTTCATACTTTTAGAATATTTCCAGTTTCAACTAAATTGTAGGATCCTTGGGAGTAGAAAGTGTTTATTTCTTTGTACGTTCCTGTAATGTAGTACAGTCTCAGACACATGGTAACTGACCCGGGCTGGCTGACTTGATCTTACAAACTGAGCCTGCTCCTAGGGAAAGTTTGGTGATTAGTATAGAGATGGCTCCAGTCAGTCTGGACATGCAGCTCTCATCCTACGCTTCCCATTCATCCTTTGAACGAGCCATACTAACCTCATATTTTGATGCTTCTATCCTTTAATATGCTTTGATGTAAGTATACGTTGTAGATTAATAACTACTTCTAGTCATTTTTCACCATGCACTGATCATATATACGGTGATGACACATTATCATTCAAGTAACAGCCGTTATGATTCATAATAGTTAAGGACTAATTTACAATTATCAGACATGCTAACTACTTTTTGATGTAAAGTAGATGTTCTTATTGTTACCAGTGAGGAAAATCAGAGTTTACATAGAGTAAATAAGCCACACAGCTGAGTAGCAGCAGAACTGGAATTGAAAGTAGGTCTGTCTGACCCAATATATTTTAATTGCTGCGTGATGAACGTACAAATAAAATGCCGATTTGGAATTCTGGTTTTGCTCTGTGTTTTGTCTTAATCTCACCTTGAGAGCTTTCTGATAACCTCTCTCCTTGCTGCGCTTTTTATCCCTGGTTTGCTATTTTCCTTTGGGAGTTAGAGGAAAGTGAAGCTCAGTCTCAGTAGAGGATGGAAGAGTGGTCTCTAAAGATTCAGTAAGGGTTCCTCTGGGTGGGTTGCCGTAGGTATTTTGGCCAAAGGCCTCAGCTAATTCTCCTCTATGGCTGGCCTAAAAATAGGAGAGACATCGAATTCAGAAGAAAAGGTAACAACTAATCAAAAGGAACAGCCTGCTTGGAGTCGAATGAGTGAGAGGCAGAAACCGGCAGAACTCTTGAACAGATCTCACTCCCTGCCGTTAGTGTCCAACCTGTGGCGTGTTTTCCACAGGTGGTGTGTTTTGGAACATGTTAGTGACCTGTTTTGTATTAGCACGTGCTAAATGTTTCACCCTTGGTATCTGTATTTGTTTTGTGCCACTTGTTTCTCGCAAGTGTGTAAGAACTACAGATTTGGGATCTGGTTATTTCATATGTCTGTGACATTTATTGTCTCTTATGACTCACTTGTCTATTTATTAATGATGAGAGATCCAGTTTTCCCTCTCCCCTTTGTCCTTCCATCTCAAAGACTGAGAGTCAGTGAGTATAACTTGTTGCTTCTTGCCTGCATATTGGGGGTTGGATATTGACCACAACCTTCTCAGGCTCATGCGTAAGAATAGGTGAGAAATCAATGACTTCGAGATTTGGGGACAGAAATGCCTCCTGCTTAAAATGGGCTTCCATACCCTTTCCTTGTGTAAGGAAAACATCCAAAAAGTATTTCCGAGTGTGAAAGAAAAGCAATGGACTCAAATATCACCATCTAAAAGGGACAGTGTCCCAGATCCAGACCAATTTGACTCCTGGCATTAGCTGAGCCAGATTTCAGATTCCTGAGTCTTAGTATTTAGTAAGTCTTGCCCTTTAAGAACTGGAATTTCAGGCTAGACAAATGGCTCAGTGGTTAAGTGCACTGGATGCTCCTCTAGATGACTCCAGTTCCATTCCCAGCATCCACATGGCAGCTCACAATTGTCTGTAACCCTGGTTCCAGGGGATCCATGGCAACCAGCCTGCACATGGCACACATATATATGCATCCAGGCAAAATACCTATACTCTTAAAATAAAATAAATTTTAAAAAGAAGAACTGAATTTGCAAGCCACAGAGTTGACTCAATGGGTAAAGGTGCTGATCCTGCCAAACCTGATAGCCTGAGTTTGATTCCCTAGACCCCATATGGTGTAAGGAGAGAACTGATTCCAGAAAGTTGTCTCTGGTGCCCACAATGCACACCACACAAACATAAATGAATAAATAGGATGTCTTTGATAATTTAAAGACTGAGTGTGGAATTTATTTCCTAAAGGATCTTAATAAGGGAAAGAGCAAGAAAAGGGTTGGAAGGATTGGGGGTACTGTTAATGAAATGTATGCGTGGATGGGAAAACCTGCAAGAAAGGCAGAGCTGAACTGAGCCCTCCCCGCCCATAAGTCAGCCTAGGAGTTCAAACCTTGATACAAGATAGGTTTTGATGTCTAAAAGAAGATACAGTGAGAACAAGAGATTCATCCAGTTTATTTAGTAGTCTCTTCTGAACAGACAAAAATAAACCAAAAATATCTCACACATCTTTTTTCTAAATACATTGGACCTGGTTTAGTCTTTAATGCAGAGTGTAGAAAAAAAAATCATTCCTAGATACTTCTGCTTCAGTAGTGTTGGCCAATAGTGGGCCTGGAAGCCCAGTTAACTGTACAGCATAGGTAATGTGTTATTTTGCAAAGAAACTAAGCAAGCTAACAGGTAAAGGTTCGTGGCAGCAGTCGTGGAGAAGGTGCAATCAATGTTCCTGGCCAGTAGCTATATTATGACTGCTTTTCTTTCTCTGCTGATGTCAGGGAAACCCGTGCATAGTTTCACTAGCTGAAGTGGGTTTCGGGGAGTGGGACGGGGCAGTAGGGAGCAGCAGGAAGTAGGGGTTTCAGAATCCTCCTGTAGAATTGTACCATCCTCCAGGGAAGATGAAAACCGCATTCTTCATAGAAGAGCCTCCAAGTCAAAGCAGCCCATCTGCCTCCCCACCTGTGCAGGAACTATGATATATGCAGCACCCTCTTTATGATTCTTGTACATAGGCTCAGACCTCTGTCTAGGGAGTATCTTGAGCTCAACAGCTTATCAGTCCTGGCATTTGTATTCTAACAGTAAGGTTTCCACTTAAAGCCTCCCTCCCAAATACCAAATTTTCTGCTTCTCGGTTTTTAGTTATGGGGCCTAGCGCTAAAGCTCCTACCCTGGTGGAAGAATGGGAAATGCAGAGTGTACTTCAGGAGAAGAAAATGGAGGATGTTTTGTTTGTTTGCTTGCTTGCTTGTTTTAGAAGTTGTTCAGCAGCAGGTTGTTGCCAGGAATAAGTAGAACATAGTATGAGTGATAGATGTTCCTAGATCTTCATGGGTAGGGCATTTCCTTGCCCCACTACCTCCTAGCTCCTCTCTTGTCCTATCAGCACAGGTTCATCAAACCTTGATGGGTGCGCCTCTATTTATGAAAGGGACAACAGGGTCTATCCCTCCCTTTTCCATAAATCAAACTTAAAACCATCAGCTACTCTCACCGCTCTGCTGACCATAACACAGAAAATCCAGGTATCCTACTCCATAAAACCAAGGTAAGATATTTGTCCCTTTGCTAAAATCTGAGCACTTCCTTTCTGTACATTCCATATATATGGGTATATGTACATCTATATACATACCTTTCTATATATTATCTCTGTTTTCCTCCATAGATAAACATATATATCATATCCCAATTTCCCACGTTTCCACACACCTTGTCTGTGTCAGTCATAAGTAAGACTCTGGGTTTCATTTCACTGGGTCCCTTAGCCTCATCTTTCTCATTTTCACACTCTAGATATCCTTCCCCATTGGTTATTTTGCCCACCCCACTTAAAATCCTCGCCTGCTGCTGTCCTGATACTCTCAGTCTATAGCTGGTACAGACAGGGAACCCACTGGCTGCTATAAAGCTTGTCCTACATCCTGAAAAAGGATTCAAGTCAGGGGACTGGGAGTGGGAGTTGCTCCATGCAGAATGTTGGGCTTGTGGGAGAAGGGCGCCATTCTGAATTAACAGGATGCACTTTTGAAGTGCACCTTAGAGGAAAGCCTGGGATTGTAGAGGAAATCCCAAAGGGGTTAAAACAGAAAATGTTCTCTTCTCACATTGTTAGCCCAGAGTCGGAGGAGAGGTGGGCCTTGGGCAAGAGACTGGGAAGAGAGGGAAGCAGCAATGTGCAGGAGAAGCCGGACAGAGGAAACATCGCCAGGGGATAAGAAGATACACACAGCAGTGCACTTGGTCCTTGCACACCAAACGCCACCGGGAAGTGCAGCGTTGAGTGTATGTGAAAGCAGCTGGCTCTTTGCCAGGTTCTTCTGGTTCTCGTCTTGATGCGAGTTTAAGGATAATGGTGGGTTTTGCAGGAAGAAGAGGCTGAAGGCTCTTCATTTTCAAGCTACAGTTAACCGAGTTCAAGGAAAGACCAAAGTGAGCAGACTGCCCAGCTGAGATGGGTTCAGCCTCAGGGCTTCTGAGTTCTCTGCAAGGCCTTGCCCAAAGAGACGTGTATACATTCTGCCTAAATGTGTTTCTTGTCGTCATTTGTCAACTCCTCCTTAAATTAGCCATGTGTCATCCCTGCTGGAATCCC